GGTCGTCGGACTTCTGTCCAGTAACAGGACTTGTTTGGGTGCTGCGACGTCCAGGGGGGCATCTAGTGGAGGTTCGACCCTCCGGCTTGCCTGCAATGGGGCGATTTTGGAGGCGGTGGTTAAGGTTATAAGATCTGATGGGGTGCCTAGGGTGGCCGAGGTTTTGGTTAGAGATTCGGTCTTGCAACGTGCCGTCGCGACCCTATCCCGTTTGCCAATTTACTCGCGGACATAAGTCCTTATGTCTGGGACGGGGGTTTGTTTAGGCCAAATATTGGCATTTGCAATTTTCATTCAACACGCGCGTCCTTCCGATGGAAGTTAGAGGTCACCGTCGCCCCCTCTCCCGTGTAGGTCGCTCGGCAGAGGGCGCGAGCGTCGGACGCGTGTGCGCGGCAGTAGCTCGGTGTGTGGGCCATGGTATAGTATTGTTTGCGACAGTTGGTAGGTTGCGCGCGCCCGGTGTTTGATTTGAAAATTTGGGTTAATTGTGCACGTAGTTTTGAATTTACTTTTGAATATTTGGGTCTAGTTAAGACCGCCTCGAATTGAGTGTCTGTTTTGAGAATGACGTGGCAAGAGGCCTAATTTGAGTTTTGAGCTTGTATTAAGTTTAAATTATTAACTTTGATTGACATTGGTTGGATTCAACGAGTTGCTTTGTGGCATTTTAATATCGTACGAAAGAATTTGGGATGTTTGGGAGAACGCTGAACCTTGTGAGTCAAGAAGAGACCGCGTTCGTTCCCGTGTTTGTAATTCTGTGCGAAGTGAACCCAGAACCTTGTATATTGAACTTTGAACGACTGTTCGTTACTTGTGTCGTGTGTCACTTGTTTTAATTTCGATGAACGTTGAATTGGTTGACTTTGAAGTTAATTAAATGTACAATAAAGTTGATAAACTAATATAGTGTAATAAAAGCAGAAGTTTTCATTTGGTGATCGCCCCCCTTGAGAGATCTCACTTTTGGAGAGAAGCAGCGCTTGTGGATCTGCGGTCCGACTTCAACGGTTAAGTCAGGTTACATTGTACACACGACTACACACTACTTACATGCACATCACTTACCACCTGACTGGTACCCTGTGGTCAATCCTACCTCCGGAGATCGGTAAGTTTTGTTTGATTATCAGCCGTTTAAGAATTCCTTTTATTTTTTTCGTTCTATTTTCTTATTGTTTTTTTTTTCTTCTATTTTAAGTTGTAAGTTAAGATTAAGTTATTAATTACAGTAGGTACATAGAATGTAAGTAGGTGATGTATTCGCCAACAAACTGCCCTGCAGTTTGGTGAAATTAGTGTAAGAAATAACCAAATGTATTTTTGTATAATAAACAATAAAAAAAATTGTCCATAGGCCATTGGGCTCCACCCTTGGTTGCTCGTCGAGTGTTTCGCTGATGGGCCCCGGGATAGTCGACCCTTGTCGGGGCAACTGAGAGCGTGTACAGTATCTATGTATGTAAATATATATATATATATATATTTGCACCTGCCACAAAATCTCATTACTCCACGGGTTGACTGGCAGAGAATGCCGTTAGGCATTAAGTCCGCCCTTTGTTATCCTTGTTATTAAGGTGTCAACAAACAAGATTAAATAAATAAAATAAATGTCGCTAGTTGACACTGCGGTGAAGTTTTTTGGTACACAATGGCATTTAAATGACAAGTTAGTTTTAAATAATATTTTATCAGTTTCTAGAGTATTATATTAATACAGAAAACAATATTTCAGTGGTTTACTCAATAATTTTTTGCACATTTTAACTGTTTTCGAATTTTTCTATTTTTATGAATATCTGTGGTTTATTTTATTTATTTTTAATCTACTTAATATAAAATATAACTAATAGTACAGAAAGAAATATTAAATTTTACATTTTTTTGAACAAATTAACTTCCCCGCTATGTAATCTGTCAAATATTACACCTCATTTTTAAATGGCGCCGCCCTGGTGGCAGAAAAAGTTGTGGATGCCCTCATTACCTTCTTTGAAAAGAGAATGCCAGAATCTCTATAGAACTTTGCCCCCCCTCCCTCTAAAATTGCTGTGTACATGATTGCCGTATGCGTAATTTGTTTATTAGAACTTGCGATTTTTTTTTAATTGAACTTTTATAATTACATTAACCTTATGTTTTATAATAGCATTCGTTGCAGGTTATTGTGATTGCAATTTATAAATTGTCAGGCGCAAATAGAATATGTAAATAAGGATTTTAGGAGCCGAAAGAAACTTCCGTTAGGTTTGGATAATACGAGTAAAACAATTATATGATCACTAATATTTGAGAAGGTGTTCTCCTGTTTTGGAGCTAAAAGATCCTAACACTATAAGATAACCATCACGTGCTCGCTGGTTTAGGGATAAACAATTAGGTTGAATCCTTTATGTAAATATTACTTCTGAAGCGTCAGTAGCCTAATGGCAGGGCGCGGACCGCGAACTCGAAAGGTCGTGGGTTGAATTCGCCATTCGACTACTGTCGTGAACCACTTCTAACACAAGCATTTTAAGCTTACCAGAAGTGGTTAAAGGGAATATTAGTAATGTTTAATAACATTACTAGTATTTTAAAAGAAATATTACTTTGGTAAGATTCTTTTCTGCTTAGCTATTCAACCGTCCACGGTGACTGCAGTCCCCAAAAAAATTATGAGTCCATTTGGGTAGGTACGACTTTCTCATTTCAGGCGACAAGCTGCAGTACGTGCGTTGCTGTGTTCCGTTCTGAAGTGTATAGTGAGTCAGTAGTTACAGGATGTGAGGAATGCCGTCTTGGATGAAAACGTATCTATAGTCTTCTTTGTTTGAAGTTCGCTAAAGGTTTCTTTACGTGGCAGAGCCATGCTGCAGCTATATTAGTAGTATAGTTGTAGCACGAATGGGTCGGCTCGACCGGGGAAGGAACACGCTCTCACAGAATACCAGCGTAAAATAGCAGCTTAAAACTGCTGTGTTTCATATGGTGAGTGTAGAGAACCGGAGACCCTTTTTACTGGAAAAGAGGCATTCCATCTGAGTCCTCACGGGTGACAACGTATCTACATTTTGATTCGCAATAGAGGACAAATGTAGATGTCTATGGGTCACAGCAACCACTTACCATCAGGTGGACTGTGTGCTCGTTTGTCACCCTATCCTATAAAAAAAAGGTGTCTGTGTGTCACTTACCGCCAGATATGATTACAGATATTGTTTGTCATTTTAGTTTTTGGTGTTTTAGTGTATTCCTTATTTTAGTGTTTAGTGTATTCCTTAGCACAATATAGGTAGTGCTTACTTTGACCGGCGATCGTGCCAGCTACCATTTCTCACTATAAACTTTGTATGTAGGTCTGGCATATTTAAGATCGTAAATTTCACTAACGCGATTATGGGCATTTGCCCCTTTTTACTTTTACAACATTGTACACGAAATATGAAGATACGGTAGATTCTATTACAATTTGCGATATGATTACAAAATAAATCAAAATAATGAATGTGGGTTCGCCCTAATATCAGTGATGGTTTTGACTATTGCTGGTAGGTCTGGAAAGAAATCATCATCATTACAGCCCTTCATAAGTCCACTGCTGAACATAGGCCTCCCCCAAGGAATGCCACAAAGCACGATCCTGAGCCACCTGCATCCATCGACTTCCTGCATGTCTTACCTGGTCGACACTCTGTCTAGTAGGGGTCGCCCTACACTTCGCCTACCTGTACGAGGCTACCACTCGAGAACCTTTCTTCCTCATTGGTGGTCGGTTCTTCGAGCTATACGGCCGGTCCATTTCTAAGTTTATCACGCAGAGAAACCCCGAGCAAAGCCCTCTCCATAGATCGCTAAGCGACCTTGAGCTTCCTCATACGGCCAGCAGTGAAAGACCACGTCTCAGATCCATAAGTTATCACTGGCAACACGCACTGGTTGTACAATCTCGTTTTCAGGTTTTGCGGTATACCTGACGAGAAGATGTGCTGTAGTTTCCCGAACGCCGATTTGAATCCGTCGATTGACCTCTCGGTCGAAGTTGGACTTATCTAGTCGGACTATTTGTCCCAGGTAAACATACTCGTCAACAACTTCGAGCTTAGTGCTCCCAACAACTACCTGCATAGCTGTGACATGGACGTTAAAGATGATCTTTGTTTTGTCCATGTTCATCTTAAGATCTATCCGTTGGGAGACACTATTGAGCATAGTGCTTAGGTCCTCCAGCGATTCTGCCATAAGGAATATTTCGTCGGCAAATCAAACGTGAGTGATGTACTTACTCGCCATTGATGTTAATACCGTATCCTTTCCAGTCCAGTAGCTTGTAAACGTCTTCCAATCCAGCGGTGAAGAGTTTCGGGGATATAACGTCACCCTGTCTTACACCTCTCTGCAGTTGGATAGGTTTTGTACTCTGATTCTGTACTCGGATAGCCATCGTAGCCCTACTGTACAAACACTTCATCACTTCGATATACCGATACAACAATGGAAAGAAATAAGACCATACAAAGTCTATTTTAATTTGACAGCTGGGTGAAAGTTCGAATGAGGGATTTCCCTATTAATTCAAAAGCTTCCTCTGGTAGTTTCTTCTTTTTGTTACTATTAGCTTCTACATTATATTGTTTCCATCTAGCTTCTATAATGTAAAGGAGCCCCTTTGGAGCGCAAAATGCCCGCCTTTTAATTTCGGGAGCCCAATTACCACCCGCCCGTATATCACCCCTCTGTTTTATTACTTTATTAAATAAATTATTAATATTTTTTTTATTTATCAGACATACAAGTTTCCTCACGATATTTTCCCTCACAGCCGAGCACGTGGTAAATCAGCACATAAAAATGCAATTAACAATTTCATTGGTACTGGCGGGGATCGAACCCGGGTTGTTCGCCTACTGTGAAATATACAGCGAGCGCTAACCATCTGAGGTACCACGGCTAAGATTAATTTATATAATAAAATAAATTATACCTACTTAAATAAATATACAATATGTACATACCTGAAATGATGCTGTAACGTAAAACTTAATAAAGTTAATAGAACGGCTATTTCTCAAGAAATTGTTAAACCTCTGTTATTGTTTTTCACCAATGAATCTTTTATTAATGAAACAATATGTATTACTGACTCTTGACCAAATCTGTATCTTTTTTTTTAAATTGTTCACTAAGGTACCCTTATATAAATTTTTGGTAAATGATATCGCGTGGGCCGTTAAATATCTTCATTGTACTCAATTTCGTCGTAATAATTAATTTCTCTTAAAATATTTTCAATCTCCATGTCAAAACTCACGATCTTATGTCACGGACTGCCCGCACTTAGATTTTAGAATCTCAAGTATACACACTTGAAAGCATTTGTTTCGTTTATTAGTCAGTGCGTCACTCAGCTGATATCGTGAACGTAAGCCGTATCTTGAGATATGTTTATTAATAAGATAATAACCTCAAGATTGTACTCTAGTGCGTGTACTTGAGCTGAGTAACGTTTATTAATACGGGCCTTAGAGTGGGCGTTGATGTAGTTTGTAACATTTTATTCTTAGTGGGAAAATAATAGGGTGTGATTGCTTTTTTAGCGGCCGTCATATGATTAGAAGTCGTCTTGTAAGTAGGAAAACATAAAAGTACATAATTTTGTAATGTCATTGAAAAGTACTCTGTCAGCGTCATCGGAATGCGCTTACAAGATCATTGCGATGTTCAGGCGTAACTCCGTCAATGCCGCCAGCAGAGACATTTGAAAATGACATAATTGCTTCTAAAATGTCTTTTTCGGAAACTTGTAAATGTTGTTTGAAGTATTGAGAAGCAGTAATAGATGTTGAGTAAGATTGACTAAATGATGCTTCTGTGATGAAAAGAAATTAGACTACGAGGAGTCAGGATCACCATTCATAAGAATAATTAATTTATAATTTAATTGATAAATACATTTACAGAATTAGTGGATCACATTATATCAAACGCTGAATTTTTCATCTTACTGATATTTTCCACGTCCACCGCGGAAGTATATAACCTACTTAACATGTAAAATACCCTTTAAAACCGGTTCAGCCATATCCAAAAAAAATCTGCAATATATGTATAAAAAATGTACTTTAGGTTGATACTCATTACTCATACTCATCGATTAACGCTCACTGTCCCGATGTGAAGACAGAAGAAGACAGAGAAATGTGCTCTTTACAAACTATAATTTAAAATTAATAATTTTGTACAGCCGACTTCAATATAAGTTATTAATAATAACTCAAAAACTATTGGTCTGACCTTGATCAAATTCACATGGTACTACATGAGAAGTACCAGCTTTCAAATAAAAAAAGAATCATTGAAATCTGTCAACACAGTAAAAAGTTATGAGGTAACACACATAAAAAAGTCTAAAAAACGTCTCTTTTTTTGAGTATAACAACAAGTAAAATGACATGAATATAATTATAAGTATGCCAACAGCTCTAAAGAAGCCTTGCAACTTGTTAGAGAAGTACAACTAGGTCAACATCCTGCACCTGTTTGGTGAAGGGTGTCCTATCAAGTAGTTACGAAGTTTTAATTTTGTGAAAAATAAGTAAAGAGTTCGATCAAAATTGATCAAGGGACTGTCTTGTATCTTGTAGTGATAAACTTTTTTTTAATAGTACCGGAAATTTTCCAACAAGATTCTGCCCATGGTTGCACAAATAACCCAAACCTGCTTTGAAAACATTGTTCCGCATTTCTGAAGAGCTGAACACTAGCCTATGACTATTTATCCTGAACCCGTTGGGACTATAAATTATGATCAGTGCTAGAGGACATGGCCTGTTTAAAACGTTACTCTGATATTTAGTATCTCAAAAGAGATCTTTAAAACTAGCTGTGGCTAAAAAGTCCCCATGGATATCCATAGATTCATTGCTAGACAGATGCATAAAATGTATGAAAGGCAAACTTTGAATAAAATTGTTTTAATCGCATAGATTTAAATAGATATGCAGATAAATATGGGTTTATTTATTACACTGTTTCTTTTAAAGAAACGCATTTTAATGTCTAACAGAAGTTATAGCCATACTAGGTAATATCCTCGATTTCGTAATCATAATACAGACGCAGAATAAGGTTTTTATATAACTCACGACCATATTGGCTAGAGCTACTTCAGTTCAACTGAGACTCTACCAAGGTAAAGTTCTTGAACTGGCGTGTTGTGTTTACTATCAGAAATAAAATAACAAAATGGAACAGTTTATTGGAAAAAAATATAAATTGAAATCTTCGGAAAATTTCGACGAATATCTAAAATACATTGGTAAGAATTTTCATATTATATTTTACATTAATTTACTTTTGTAATTATTTTAGTTAAAAAAAAAACCATTAACGTTCTTATTAAATAAAACTAACTGCCAACAATTATAACTATAACAAATAAAATTTAATGTAAATTAAATGCTTACAATGTTTTACACATTTTTACTTATCTTTTAGTATTCATTAAATATATAAACCTACATTACAACTTATGTACTAACTAGGTACCTAATATAAATTAATTATCATTGAAAGTGACAGAATAATAAATGAGGCAGATAGTTTATGGTACCGGTAGCTAAATTACCCTCACCGGGTCTTCAGCAATACGCAATTCGTTTATTGTCATAAGCTACGCCTATTATATATTCTATTAGGCTTGTTTATAGAACAAGGGTGGCAAACGAGCACACAATTCACTTTATGGTAAGTGGATGCTGCGGCCCATAGACATCTACATATATCCTCGATTAAGAATCAAAATGCAGATACGTTGTCACCCCTAAGGACTAAGATGGAATGCCTCGTTTCCAGTAAAAAAGGTATCCTGTTCTCTACACACACCGTACGTAACACAGCAGCATTAAACTGCTATTTTACGCTGGTATTCTGTGAGTGCGTGGTCTTATCCCGGTCTAGCCTACCCATTCGTGCTACAACCATATTATAGCTGCAGCGTGACTCTACCACGCATAAAATTAAAACTTTAAATTTAAATAAAAAAAATTAAAATTAAAATTTAATTTAGGCTTATTAGAAGTTCGCAACATCAATTTTTTTATCGAGCACCATTTGAGTTTACTATATCAGTAAAAATATATGAGCTTGTTTGTTATTAAATGGCTTTAATTTTGTCAGCTGAATAACTTATCCCAGTAAATGTTAATTGATCGTCAAAAACTCACATAATTAAAGTCAAATCTTTTGATGACTGGTATACTGCTATTAGTTTTAGTTATCTTGTTCCTTTTATATTATTTCTTCTTCTTACTTACTATTTGCCGACCGTTATATGCTGACGTTTTTTTTAACGTAACCTCCACTTGGATTTTCTCCTGTATCGTGGGGGCAGTTTACAAACATAAATTGCACAAGGACAAACATTTAGACCCGGAACAATTATTTATAGGCTTGTATGGCCTATAAATAATATAATTATTTATAGGCCATACAAATACTTGCTCCGTGCGGGATTCGATCTCGCGACCTTTAGCGCTGCAAGTCAATTGCTAAGTCACTGCGCCACGGAGCCGTCAATTATAATGTATAAATTTAAACTAATTATTCTCTCCCTCGCCCACATAAATTACAACCAAATCCAAATATAATTGAGTTCGGTGTATAACGTTTCCTGTTATGTATAACATCTCGCTTCATATTAAATTTCGTCGTCACGTATTATCTAATATACGTGTTACGTTCGCAGTAAGACTAGAGCATTAATCGCAGCATCAATCTTATAAGAGATTTAGAGTAATTTTCCTTAGTTAAGCCACTTAGTTGAGCTGATTGTAGAATATAATTATAGATTTAATTGTTTCCACTCGCGCATAATTACACGCACAAAATTAAAAATTATAATGATTTCTAAGACTTGTGTAGGTCGACGTGGGACATTCGAAGACTAGAAATGAAGTCAAATAAATTTTCTCTAATATAGTGAAGGTTACTAATACACGGTGATATAAAAGTATAACTTTTTTTAAAGATAAACATGTTACATTATTTGTAAAAATAGAGTATTTCAATAATTTTACGAGTAGTAGGTATGTGCAAATATTTGTTACATTACACTTTCGTAACGTGTTTCTTTTGCTTGAGTGGATATTATTATCTAATATTCGCAATGTTCAAGTAATTCAGGGTTACTTATGTGTGTAAAACACTGGAACATACAACTTACAAAATATGAAAATTCTAATTTTTATTGATTTTATCTTTTGATTCAACTCTCACGCCTGTGACCCAGAAAGGTGGAGACACTACGTACTTCCATTGACACAACTCTCTTACTTCTTTCACATCCGTATCCATATCTACGCATATAAGCTCTTCGGGTTAAGGTATTATTATTTTGGCTCATCTTCATTATATTACCAATTTGATCGATACATCTCTTACCGACTCTGCCACTCACTTCTGAGGCATAAATTTACTTTGTCACTCTTTAATAATTAATTCTTTCTAAAAACCACCTAAGCTATCCTTCATTAATTCTGGTGACAACATCTTCTTGCAAACCCCCCTTTTATTTCATCATACAATTTATTACCCTGTCATTCAGTCACTCGTAGCATACTTTTCAATGACCCCATTTCTTGCTTCTTCTGCCATATCCAATTTTCACTATACCGTTAAATCCTATTAAAGTCCACTGCTGAACATAGGTCTTGCTCATAGTTTGCCTCACAGGTGATATATTTACCATAGTTACCACGCTTGGCAAGAGAGTTGGCAACCACAGTTTATATTTTTAGTCGTTATTAGGAAGAAGCTGCTGCCCATCTCCTAATTTGTTTCTCTATGTCGCCTGTTACAACACCCACGGGATGATATGGGTTAGCAGATATTCTTACACCGCCACCGTAAACTTATACTATACTTTCACTATATAACTATTCCGTTTATCCCAGACGTAAACTGCCCACACCCCAGACAGTTAGCAGAAAGCAGCATTAATGTGTGAGACGTACGGTGATCGCGAAACTTTTTGTCAAACCTTTTCTTCAAAAAAGAAAGACTTACGGGATCAAAGCTGTGGATTTAACGGCCTGATTAAGGAAAAGCACAAGGACCAACAGATAAAGAGTACATATGCCACGTGAAAAGTTTGACTACCTTAAAACAAGTGATGTGGTTAAGGATTTTTTTACAAAACATTTTCAAAGAACTCTTCACCAGCATCTATACAAAATTTCACACGTCTGAACCAATTTTTTTAAAACACACACTGCTAGCGCATTTTCCGGCGATCAAAACTGTGTCCCTAATAGCTGACTATTTATTTTAGAGAATAAAAAGAAGTCACACATTGCCAAATCATGGCTGTAAGGAGGCCCTTGTTATGAGTCATGCATGCGTGTGCGTTATCGTCGTGAAGCAGTAGCCGGTGATACCCAGTGTTTGCACTTCTGGCAAGCATTTAGTATACCATTCGTTGTTGATGCTACTTAAATTTCATAAAGGAATCAAGACCAGATACACCGTCAAAGTGAACAAAAATTGCGAACAAAATAATCCCCGCGCATCACAATCTTCACTTTGATAGGCGTTGGTTTATTTCGAAACAGCCAAACCGACTAGCGCTTTGTTCCTGAATCGTATTGATAAATCCAGGTTTATCACTTATAATAATATCGTAAACACGCCAAGACAAACCTGTTACAAATTTAGTAATCATGTAGAGGCACCATTCCACGTGGGCCTGCTTTTAAGCATCGGCTAAGTTATGCGGCTACCAACACGAAACTATACTTCTCTCGAATTTTATTTTCCCGCCCTGCGCACCAGAAGCTACTATGCAAAATGCTTTATACGCATTCGAGGTTAAATACGAAATGTTTATTCAATTAAGTATAATGAGTTACCGTGTTGTAAATATATTCGTGTCAGAATAACAATAAAATAACTCAAACGAATTTGGTACCGGCAGAAAGAATAGGTGTTATTACCGTGGCATAAGTGTTGTTGAATATGTTTTAAAGTTACTTTCGGTCACAAATAAAATTAAATTATAATGAAGTCCTTGTTCTACTTCAAAATGTTTCGATTTGCATTTCATTATGAAATCACGGTTGCGGTAAAAAAACGAACATCGAGGTAGATATCTCTCACTCCTCTTAGAATTTTTCTGTGAACCTGGCCCCTAGCAGGTTGCCATTTCCATAGTATCTGTGAAATAATAGGAATTATTTTAAAACAAAATGTTTTTATAAAATAAGGGTGACAAACGACCACACAATCCACCTGATGGTTAATGGATGCTGTGACCCATAGACTCCTACATCTATCCTAGACTTAGTATTAAAATGTATATACCTTGTCACCTTGAGGACTAAGATAGACTGCCTCGTAACGTGAAAATGGGTCTCCGGTTCTCTACACTCACCATACGAAACACGGGAGCATTAACCTATTTTACGCTGGTATTCTGTGACAGTGTGGTCCTTCCCCGATCGGTTCGACACTTTCGTGTTGCAACCATAATATAACAACAGAATAGCTCTAACACGTTGAAACTAGTGATGCAACGAATACTACTTTTACGAATAAGAATATCAAACCTACTATTCTTCGAATACGAATACGAATACGAATTTCTCGCCATGGTAATAAAAAACTAATTTATTTGATGATTTTCCATTGTTCTAATAATTAAAATTTACAATAGGAAAATTTTTATTTAAAAAACCGGCCAAGTATGAGTAGGACTCGCGCACCGAAGGTTCCGAACAAAACCGTAAGTATATAACTTTAAAATTATTAAAAATATTTTTATTATATGATGTAACTAAAATTTATGATTTTCGCAATTTTTCCTTTATCTGTGCTATACAACGTTACTTCGTACCAAATTTCAACATTCTGAGTTCACGGGAAGTACCCTGTAGGTTTTGATTCCCTTGCGAATGTCGAAGTTAGAAGTTTGATTTTTTCACAGCTCCAAGGGACAGTAGACTTAAATATTTGATATGAATTTCAGCTTGATACCTCCACGCGTTCCTGAGAAAAAGGGTCTTGACAGAAAGACAGACAGACGGACAACAAAGTGATCCTATAAGGGTTCCGTTTTTTCTTTTTGAGGTACGGAACACTAAAAACATAAAATTTGTAGATTTTCTGATTTTAGGCGATTTCTTTTTTCAGTTTGGATGTTCCCAGCCGTTGAAAAAAGTCTTTCCAAGGCGACTGTACATAGTTTCAGTGAAAAATATTTTTGGGAGTCCCCGTCGTTGAGGCTAAGGGCCAAAACACACGTATTTTTACGCGCCGAGGACG